GGGCCAAAGGGAATCACAGCACCACGACCACGACGGCCCTTGTGGGGTGGCCTGCCTCTGCCTTTAATTTTTTTTCCGATTAGTGGTACTATGCGTGCAAGCTACTGTGACAACAGATATGAGTGGCACTGTGCAGTGGCAGAAGTTGGCAGAGTAGACGCTGTAGGCCTGACACGCACGCTTGCAGACAACTAACTGCTATTCAATATATTACAGTCAAAATTTAATTTTTTTTTAAAAATGTACGCTACTGTTACACCAAATTTGAGTTGCACTGGTGTGACACTGTGCCCTGGCAGGCCCTGAAACGCACATGCGTGAAGGAAACTGACTGCTATTATATTACAGTCCAAAAAGTTTTTTTTTAATGCAAGCTATTGGGACACCAGTGAGTGAGTGGTGGCACTGGGCAGGCCCTGAAACGCACACTCGTGAAGGAAACTGACTGCTATTATATTACAGTCAAAAAAGTTTTGTTTTTTTTAAATGCAAGCTATTGGGACACCAGTGAGTGAGTGGTGGCACTGGGCAGGCCCTGAAACGCACACTCGTGAAGGAAACTGACTGCTATTATATTACAGTCCAAAAAGTTTTCTGTTTTTTAAATGCAAGCTATTGGGACACCAGTGAGTGAGTGGTGGCACTGGGCAGGCCCTGAAATGCACACTCGTGAAGGAAACTGACTGCTATTATATTACAGTCCAAAAAGTTTTTTGTTTTTTTTAAATGCAAGCTATTGTGACACCAGTGAGTGAGTGGTGGCACTGGGCAGGCCCTGAAATGCACACTCGTGAAGGAAACTGACTGCTATTATATTACAGTCCAAAAAGTTTTTGTTTTTTTTAATGCAAGCTATTGGGACACCAGTGAGTGAGTGGTGGCACTGGGCAGGCCCTGAAACGCACACTCGTGAAGGAAACTGACTGCTATTATATTACAGTCCAAAAAGTTTTGGGTTTTTTTAAATGCAAGCTATTGGGACACCAGTGAGTGAGTGGTGGCGGCACTGGGCAGGCCCTGAAACGCACACTCGTGAAGGAAACTGACTGCTATTATATTACAGTCCAAAAATTTTTTTTTTTTTTTAAATGCAAGCTATTGGGTCACCAGTGAGTGAGTGGTGGCGGCACTGGGCAGGCCCTGAAACGCACACTCGTGAAGGAAACTGACTGCTATTATATTACAGTCCAAAAAGTTTTGGGTTTTTTAAATGCAAGCTATTGGGACACCAGTGAGTGAATGGTGGCACTGGGCAGGCCCTGAAACGCACACTAGTGAAGCAAACTGACTGCTATTATATTACAGTCCAAAAAGTTTCGTTTTTTTTAAATGCAAGCTATTGTGACACCAGTGAGTGGTGGCACTGGGCAGGCCCTGAAACGCACACTCGTGAAGGAAACTGACTGCTATTATATTACAGTCAAAAAAGTTTTGTTTTTTTTAAATGCAAGCTATTGTGACACCAGTGAGTGAGTGGTGGCACTGGGCAGACCCTGAAACGCACACTTGTGAAGGAAACTGACTGCTATTATGTTACAGTGAAAAAAGTTTAGTTTTTTTTTTAAATGCAAGCTATTGTGACACCAGTGAGTGAGTGGTGGCACTGGGCAGGCCCTGAAACGCACACTCGTGAAGGAAACTGACTGCTATTATATTACAGTCAAAAAAGTTTTTTTTAGTTTTTTTTTTTAAATGCAAGCTATTGTGACACCAGTGAGTGAGTGGTGACGGCACTGGGCAGGCCCTGAAACGCACACTAGTGAAGGAAACTGACTGCTATTATATTACAGTCAAAAAAGTTTTGTTTTTTTTAAATGCAAGCTATTGTGACACCAGTGAGTGAGTGGTGGCACTGAGCAAGTGGGCACAGTATATGCTGTGAGCCTGACACACAGGCTGGCAGGCAGGCAACTGCAATTGCATTACACAGAAAAAAAAAGCAGATTGATGTTCTAGCCCTAAAAAGGGCTTTTTGGGGTGCTGTCCTTACAGCAGAGATCAGATGAGTCCTTCAGGACTGTAGTGGACACAGAAAATAAAAGCTTGCCATTCCTGGATTCTTTATATTCAATAAATTATATTCTAGCTATCAATTTCCCTATCAAATCAGCAGCAGCTACACTGTCCCTCCTCTCACTAAGAATGCAGCTTCACAATGAATGTAAAATGGATGCTGTCCTGGAGGTGGGAGGGTCTGGGAGGGAGGGTCTGCTGCTGATTGGCTGGAATGTGTCTGCTGACTGTGAGGTACAGGGTCAAAGTTTACTCAATGATGATGAATAGGGGCGGACCGAACAGTGCATATGTTCGCCATCCGTGGCGAACGCGAACAAGTGATGTTCGATGGGTACTATTCGCCAGCGAACCGTTCGGGACATCACTATATATAATGATTAACATGGTGGATACATCCAACAAAACACTCTTTTTTAAGGGGTGATTAATAATAATATATATGAAGGTTCAATATTAAGAATAGAATGAGGGGATAATAACAAAAGGACAATTGTAAGTTGATGAATTAAATGAAAAGGATTGTTGGAAGCATTTGTGACTTGAGAAAAAGAATATAAATCAATATACTGTTTTCTTACATTTATCCTTTTTTTCATATGCCATGATATGGACTATTATGTCATGTAAATCCACGATACTACCTCTAGCAACCACCAGAGGACAATAATTCAAACATTGATCGCCGAATCTAATGGAACGCACGGCCATTTTCACCAAGCCGCAGTGGAACGCACGGAAGTGCGCCGAACCGGAAGTAAAGTCTGAAAAGAAAAATCTTACCGCGAAAAAAGATTGCATGAAATAGAAATAGCTGGGACACCTTTCAACTGTTGATAGGAAGCCCAATCAGAAGAGGATTATGCACCAACGCCCACCACACCACCAATGGACTCCCAGCTTGAACATATTTAAGGGTTTGAGGGGTGAGGGGGAAATAGGCTCATCTGTACACTTGTTGATGTTTTGGCAGTGTATGTAATTGTATGTTTTAACTGTTAATCTGATATTTGGTCCCTGAGGAAGTTTCCTAAGGGAGACGAAACGCGTAGGACTAGTAATAGCATTTTATTGTTTTATTTTTATACTTTAAAGCCAATAAATTTCCCTTTTTTACCAACCATTGGGATTGTGTGGACTTCCTAATTTTGGAACCGGCGTGGTAACCAAACAACAGGAGGAACCCCCCTAACCACAGGGGAGGCAACCTGAGGGCTTGAAAAAAAACAGCAATTTGTGAGTGCAACCTTGAAACACAAAATGAATATTTAAATTGTAACTTTATTACACTATGCTGCATTTTATTTTTATATTTTAGTGATACAAGCTGGATCCCTGGTCGATTTGTATTTTGTAATAGTTGTATATGGTCACCAAGTTGGGAGGTGACCTAAGGGAAGCAAGTATCCGAAAAGTTCATACCAATATTTTCCACGGGTGAATAGGTGGAAGCTATATATTTTATGGATCTTGGTAGAAAATAAAAGCTTGCCATTCCTGGATTCTTTATATTCAATAAATTATATTCTTTTTTGTTTATAATGCCCAATTCCAATCTTTCCTTCAAATATTCCTCTAACATTTTCTGCATTTAGGAGATGGGACTGTCATTCAGTGAACATATGTCTCCTCATTTAAAAGGTGGGAGAATGCTTCCTTCAAATAATATTCATGGGTCATAGATAATCCACTCCCCTTATCTGCAGGTTTTATCATTATATTTTGGGTTCTCCTTTAGATCCTGTCTTTCTTAGGGGTTTAGGTTATCGTTTCTCCTAGTAAAATTGATTTTCTCCAAATCTTGCATAACTAGCGTTTTAAATGCCGCAATAGGGCCTATTACACAGTGCATCTTGATTTGTTCTTCATATTTGTATGTTTAAAAATAACCCCCTCTAAATGGGTCTCTAAAGGGGGGTCTTTCTTCTACATTATTATCCTAGGGATTAAATGAAAGAATTTCTTGATTGACAGTTTCCTCATAATTCTACTATCTATATATCAAATTTGTTTAAAAATTTTGTAGGTGCGAAATTGAGATCTTTATTTAACAATGATATTTGGTCTGATGTTGGATTAACCCCTTAAGGACTGGACTGTTTTTGCGATGTTGTACATTTGCGACCAGGCATATTTTTACACTTTTGTGGTGTTTGTGTTTGGCTGTAATTTTCCGCTTTCTCATTTACTGTTCCCATACAAATTATATATTGTTTTTTCAGGACAAAAGGGGCTTTCTTTACATACCATTATTTATATAATCTCATGTATTTTAATTTAAAAAAAATAAAAAAATATGATGAAAAATTGAAAAAATACATGTTTTTTGACTTTTACTTGAAAAATCTTTTACTCATCTACAAAAGCGAATGAAAAAAACTGCTAAATAGATTCAAAATTTTGTCCTGAGTTTAAAAATACCTAGTGTTTACGAGCTTTTTGCTTTTTTTTGCATGTTATAGGGCTATAGGTACAAGTAGGATATTGCGGTTTAAAAACATACATTTTAAAAATTTATCAATAGTGACATTGTAACACTATTATCTGTCATAAATCTCTGAATAACACCCCACATGTACATATTTTTTTTAAAGTAGACAACCCAGGGTATTCAATATGGGGTATGTCCAGTCTTTTTTAGTAGCCACTTAGTCGAAAACACTGGCCAAAGTAAGCATTCATATTTGTTTGTGTGTGAAAAAAGTAAAAAAACGAAATTGAACGCTAATTTTGGCCAGTGTTTGTGACCAAGTGGTTACTAAAAAAAAGACTGGACATACCCCATTTGCAATACCTTGGGTTGTCTTCTTTTGCAAATGGTATGCCATCATGGGGGTAATTCTCATTCCTGGGCTACCATACGCTCTCAAAGGCAACGTGACCAACCTGGCCATTTTCAATGTAAAATATTTGACCCATATATTTGACCTTGTAACTTTCAAAAATGCTATAAAACCTGTACATGGGGGGTACTGTTTTACTCGGGAGACATCGCTGAACACAAATATTAGTGTTTAAAAAACTGGAAAACGTATCACAACAATTATATCATCAGTAAAAGTGCTGTTTGTGTGTGAAAAATGCAAAAAAAAAGTAACTTTCACTGACAATATCATCGCTGTGATATGTTTTACTGTTTTGAATCACTAATATTCGTGTTCAGCGAAGTCTCCCGAGTAAAACAGTACCCCCCATGTACAGGTTTTAGGTGAACGTTACAGAAAAATGTTAAAGTTAGCAAAATGGAAATTCTCTAAATTTCGCCTGCTGCAGGCAGGTCCCTCAAATTGCAATCAATAAAATTACTTAATTATGTAAAAATATTACATAAATACGCAAGTAGAATTTAAATATATATGCATATTTATATATTTGAAGTCTACGTGTATATTTATATAATTATTTATGCAATTTTGTATATGGACATATGTATATTTCTTATTATTTTTATTTATTTTTATATACATAGATATATATACAAATTCATTCTAAGTGTATTTTGATATAAATATATATATATTAATTTTAAAATACAGTTAGAATAAAATTTCATATAGCTATATAATTTTTTTTAAATTTTTTATTATTTAAAAAATTTTTTAATTTAAATTACTTATTATTTATATTTTATAATAATATATATATACACAATATATATAGTTATATATATTATATATATACGTGTGTAATTTAATTATAAGTGTATTTTTATATTAATATAAGTACATATTAATATAAAAATACACTTAGTATGACATTATATATATATGATATATAGACATATATTATATAGGTATAATATATGTCTATATATCATATATACACATATATAATTATTATTATTTTTTTTTATTAACATTAACTTTATTTTTTTTTATTGATTTTACACTAGCAGGGAGACTGCCTGTCAGCACAGGCAGTCCCCCTGCAGGCAGACACATGGACACCTATTGTGACCATGTGATAGCTGTGTTAAGCGATCACATGGCCACAGGGGTCCTAATCTGCCATGGGGAGACTGTCTGGGCTGCGGGCAGTCTCCCCACAACCGGAGCCACGCTGATCGCCGCCGGGGGAACGACGGCGATCAGGTAAGTAGCTCTGACCGTTAGGACGGTTCAGGACCGTCATCGGTCGGCAAGCCAAAAATGCCGATGACGGTCCTGAACCGTCCTCGGTCCTTAAGGGGTTAATTCCTGCATAGTTAAAAATCGCTATAGGTTAAATTTTCTGTCTCTTTTCTTTTCTCTTAACTCGACAACCTCCTCTTCTTTCTCTTCGCTTTCCCATGATTCTCTTTTTAATATAGGGATTTGATTTCCTAGAATATGTGGTTTTGTCCAATTGAGATTCCTCCCTAAAAATCCTCCTAAACTATTGTTAGATAATCTTAAATCTGTCCCTTAGCATCAGGCAGTCTTGATTAGTCTGATGTTCCATCCTCACATGTTGTCTGTTTTTTTTCTATACTCTCCACATGGTTCCTACTGTTATATATTTTCCTTGGAGTTATCTTCTCAGGTTCCTTGATCCGTTTGTCTTTCCTCACATTTTCTTCCTCTCTCTTAGAGTTGGGTATAGGTCTTGGTTTTCTCTTTAGGGTACTTCTATGTTCTCTTGTTGGGCCATTCATCTTTATCAATTCTAGTTATAGCTCACATTATTTGAAAGCAGCCTCTATTAAGTAGACTCTTTCAAGTAGGAGTTAGAAAACCAGGAGTTGAAACAAACAAGGGGTTCAAACTATCAAGGTAATTGTTTTTATTTACTGTTTAAAGGGGAAATGAGTGTTAGCAAGATTGCTGGTTTAACTCAATGCACATCTTGTTGCGTGTATGGCTGCCTGGATGTACCCGTCCAGGGTCCATACCTCTGTGATGGTTGTGTGCGAGTGGCTTCTCTGGAAGCTCAGATTGGAGATCTCGAGAAGCAAATCGCAACATTGAGGGAGATTGACAATCTTGAGAGGAGTCTACTGCTCACTGAGCAGAGTTTAGTGGGGACAGGTAGTGGAGAGGGAGGAGATAAGACAGATGGGGAACAGGCATGTAGCTGGGTGACAGTGGGGCGAGGAAGCAGGGGGGGAGGGAAGAGGAAAGGGCTAGCTAGTCCTGATTTGGTGCAACCTAGCAGATTTGCCCGTTTGAGGGAAGATGTTGGGAGCATCAGCTCAGGAGTAGCTGTATTAGAGGAAGCTGTTACTTCTAACAGCCGAGCTAACAGCCCCCCTAGTACGGGTGGGGATCAAAATGTTAGGAAGGCAAGACAGGTTGTGGTGGTAGGGACTCTATCATTAGGAGAGCAGATAGGGCAATCTGCCGCTCTGATCGGCTCAACCGGACAGTTTGCTGTCTCCCGGGTGCTCGGGTCCGGCATGTTGCTGACAGAGGGGATGGATTATTGGGAGGGGCTGGGGATGACCCAGCGGTCATGGTCCATGTTGGTACCAATGACAAAGTAAGAGGAAGATGGAAGGTCCTAAAGAATGATTTCAGGGCATTAGGTAGCAAACTTAAGAAAGGGACCTCCAAGGTGGTATTCTCTGAGATATTACCTGTGCCACGCGCTACAGTGGAAAGGCAACGGGAGATTAAAGAGGTCAATGCGTGGCTTAAGTCTTGGTGCAGGAAGGAGGGTTTCGTGTTTTTAGAGCACTGGGCCGACTTTGCGATTGGGTACAACCTTTATAGTGGTGATGGATTGCACCTAAACGGGAGAGGGTCTGCAGTGCTGGGGGATAGGATGGCTAGAAGGTTGGAGGAGATTTTAAACTAGTAGTAGGGGGGGAGGGTCATAGCAATCTACAAAATGGAGATAGGACAGAAAGGAGATGGGCTTTAGCACAGTATAAGGGGGGTGGAAACGGGGGGAGGGGCAAGCTCAGAACAGAGAAGCTGTGTAATGTTGAAAATTCACAAAATATACAAGTGGCGCATAATATTAAATGTATGCTTACTAATGCAAGGAGCCTAAATAACAAAATGGGGGAACTAGAGGCATTAGCATACACTAAACAATATGATATAATAGGCATAACTGAAACATGGTGGGATGAGACACATGACTGGGCAGCTAACTTAAATGGGTACATGTTATTTAGGAAGGATAGGAAAAACAAGAAGGGTGGTGGGTATGTTTGTATGTCAAACATGATTTAAAGCCAAATGTTAAGCAAATGGAATGCGAGGAGGATAATGTGGAAGCTTTATGGGTAAATATCTGCTTGGGGGAAAAGAAGGGAAACCAACTATTGGTTGGGATATGTTATAAACCACCTAATGTTAATATTGACGAGGAACAACAGCTGTTTGAGCAAATTGAGAAAGCTGCAAATCTGGGTAACACTTTAATTATTGGAGATTTTAATTACCCGGATATAAATTGGGACAGAGGGACTAGTGCCTCAGCAAAGGGAATTAGGTTTTTAAACTTGTTAAATGACACCTTCATGTCACAACTTGTGCAAGCACCAACTAGAATGGATGCTTGTCTGGACCTGGTTTTAACAAACAACGTTGATCTTTTGATCAACATTCAAGTAGGTGAGCACTTGGGAAATAGTGATCACAATATAGTGTCCTTTGAAATAAACTCAAAAAAACAAAAGCACATGGGGAATACTAAAACATATAATTTTAAAAAGGCCAATTTCAATAAGTTAAGGGAAGCTTTACAATATATTGACTGGCATAAACTCTTTAGTGAAAAGAACACTGAGGATAAATGGATCATCTTCCAACAAATATTACAAAGGTACATTTCTCAGTATGTACCGTTGGGAAATAAATATAAAAGAAACAAATTAAAACCAACATGGCTTAGTAGAGAAGTAAAACAAGAGATTACAACTAAGAGAAGGGCATTTAAAGCATTTAAATGGACAAATCAGATGCATCTTATAAAAGATATAAGGATGCAAATAATGCGTGCAAAAAGGCAATTAGACTTGCTAAACTTCAAAATGAAATAATGATAGCTGAAGAGAGCAAAACCAACCCCAAAGCATTTTTTAAGTACATAAATTCTAAAAAAAACCAAAATGAAAGTGTAGGTACACTAAAAACTGAAACGGGGGTGTTAATTAATGAAGACCAGGAAAAGGCAGGAATTTTAAATAACTATTTCTCCTCCGTATATATTAAGGAAGAACCCATGGCAATAGATGTGCAAATGATTGCTACTAAAAACTTGCAGAATAATTGTAATTGGTTAACTCAAGACAAGGTGCTGCAGCAACTAAAGAAAGTTAATATAAACAAAGCTACAGGGCCTGACTGTATCCATCCACGTGTACTTAACCCCTTAAGACCGGAGGGCGTACTATTACGTCCTCTAATAGGCGGCTCTAAACGCCGCCGGGCGTAATAGTACGCCCTCCGGTCTTTCTGTACTTACCCGGTCGCCGGCGGTCCCACGCCGGCGATCGCGGTGGGGGGGACTCCCAGGGAGCCCCCCGCGGCACGACCGTCCTCCAGGAAGCCCCCCGGCCGTGTGAGAGTGGGGTCCTGGCGAGGACCCCACAATCACATGGCCGGGGATAGCTGGCTTCTGTATTGCCAGCAGGGGGGCTGCCTGTAATGACAGGTGGTCCCCCTGCTGGCTGAAAATAAAAATGAAATAAATAAATAGTGTAAAAAAATAAATAATATATACTTAGATCATATATATATATTATATATATATGATCAAAGTATATATATACACATATACATACACACATGTACACCGTCTAGGTGTATTTTACTATTAATATATATATAATTATATATATATATTAATATCAAATTACACGTACACTGATACTGATTAAATATATATATAATTATTGTTATATATATATTTATATATATTATAAAAAAAATTAAAATGTAAATACGTTAAAAAATAAAATTACAAAAATAATTAAAAATAAATAATTAAAAAATATATAGATGTGTGTTATTTCGTTCTAACTGTATTGTGAAATTAATATATATATATATATATCAAAATACACATAGAACGAAATAATATATATATTTATACACATAAATATATACGTATATATCACTATATATATACCTATATATAAATAAAAATATTTTTAAAAAATTATATAGATATATACATATATATACACATACGTATATATATACATATATTGATTCTACATATATATTTATGTAATATT